AGGTTGCCCATCAAAACAAAAACATCATTTTTCATCAAATTTAAACAAGATACACAGTCTTGTTTAAAATGTTAAAAGTGTCCCGCATATAAATCACAATTACTTGGCAAAAAAAGAACCTTGAAAATGTTACTCACATAGAAAAGGACAATCAACAGAAACCAATGCTCAGATAACACAAATATTAAAATTGTCTGGCAAAGACTTTATAGCAGCTATTATACAAATGCTCAAACAAGCAATTATAAACACTATCAAAACAATGTTAAAATAAAAATTCTCCCTTGGGAGGCTGAGGAGGGCGATTCACGAGGTCAAGAGATTGAGACCATCCTGGCCAACATGGTGAAACCCTGCCTCTACTTAAAAAATACAAAAATTAGCTGGGCATGGTGGCACGCGCCTGTAGTCCCAGCTACTCGGGAGGCTGAGGCAGGAGAATTGCTTGAACCCGGGAGGTGGAGGTTGCAGTGAGCCGAGATCGTGCCACTGCACTCCAGCCTGGTGCCTGGTGACAGAGCAAGACTCTGTCTCAAAAAAAATAAATAAAAATAAAAAATAAAAAATCTCAGCAACATAAGAGATATTAAGAAGAACCAAATAAAAATGTTAAAATTGAAAAATGCAGTAATTAAAATTTTTTAAAGCTATTGGATAAATTTAATAGCAGAATGGAGATGACAAAGGAGGAGTCAGTAGACTTGAAAATGGATCTAAACAAATAATCTAATCTAAACAACAGACAGAAAAACAAACAGAAAATTGGCAAAGCGTGACAGATCTGTGAGACAATAGCAAAATCTACCATTTATGCCATTGAAATCCCAGAAAGACAGAATAATGAATGTGGAACTAAAAAAAACGTGTGAAGAAATAACAGTTGAAACTTTTCAAGTTTAATAAGATATAAACATACAGATTCAAGAATCAGAGTGAACCCAGAACTCATGAGACCACCAAGAGTGATCCCAAGCTAAGTTCAAAAAACCCTGGTAACATCAGCTAAAAACTACAGACGAAGGAATGATACTGAAAACATCCAGGAAAAATGATGCATCCCTAAAAATGGAGCAGAGATTCAAATCATTGCAGATTTCTTATCAGAAACCACAGAGGCCAGAAGAAAATAGCTCATTTTTAAAGTACTGAAGGAAAACAAAAAAAAATGACAATTGTCAACCAGCTATCTATATGCAGCAAAGAATGTTCTGTCTTTCAGCAATGAAGGTGATATAAAGACATTCTCAGATGGGAGAAAATGAAGGGAATTTGGACCCGCACACCTGGACATCCCCGGTACTTCCAGCTCTCTGCATGGTACTTCCAGCTCTCAGCATAACTTCTGGTTCCAGAACTTAAGGGCAGCCGAGCTACTGATGAAGAGTTGCAGGTGCTGGCTGAAGGTGAGAAAGGTGAGAAAATACCAGAAGGTAGGGGTTGGGGTGGGTAGTGTGCATAAGAGCAGCAAAAAAGGACAAGAGACAATCCCGGCAGTACATGCTTGTTGACTGACAAAATTTCCCCTGAAGTATGCGCTATGCTCTTTATATTTTAAGAATCTAACAGAGGACGTATATTGCTCATTTCCATTCTTCATTTAGACTAAGTATACATACATACCAAAGTTCATTTGTTCACAATTGGTTTTCGCTCATATATTTTTGCTTTATTTATGGTAAAATTTTTCATATTGTGTACAATCTCATTTATATTTCATTGTTTTCTGGATATACACGTTTATGCTTTCATTAATTTTAAATGTTTATTTTTCCACTCAGATAACATATAATATGTATTTGCTTTTATTTTTTTCTAAATAAAGATATATGCTTTTTTTCTCCTTTCAAGGCTTTGATAAATCTAGAGTTTGTCTGAAGTATTCGGTAACACCTCCCCTCCCTTGGTTTTCCATGGGAGAGACAGATTGCATTGTTGCCAGTATTCATGCCCTTATGCCTTGTGACCTTGCAGTTCCCTCACTGAGGAGCAAAATATATTTCCTAAACCCTTGACCCTGAGCTTGAACTTTCTTTGCTCAATAGAATAAGGCAGCAGTGATGGTATGCCATGCCCACAAGGAAAACATGTCCAAGATATCCCACTCTCCCCAAAAGGAGGAATGAAGACGTACGGAGCAGAGCTGAGCCACCCAGCTGAGCCAGCCTAGGTCAAGTCACCTCCATCATCCTGAAGACCTGCAGTCTCACAAGCTAAATAAGTCATTGTTCTACGCATTTTGTTTATTACGTTGTTGTTTTGCACTATAATTGAGGCCATAGTTAACAGGTATATTCCTGAGCTCTAATCATAAACCATCAAAACCTTCGAAACTTTCTAAAGACTTCCCACTTAGGTTTTAGCTTATTGTCCCACATATCCCCGAACTTGTCAAATACCTTAGGGAAAAACTAGGTGTGCACTTGAGGAGCCCCATGTCTCTGCTAAAGGTTCAGCTGATTTCTTTGTCTCCAAGCTATGTCCTTTCCATGATTAAAATCTGGATTCTCAGTGTTTTACCTGCCCAGAATTGACAAATGCTCTAAGGATTAAAAGTGGTTGCAGAAGTCAGTTTCTCTTCCTGGAGTCTAAGCTTCTCCAGTTCAAACTGCCTCAGCACTTCCCTGCTGCTTTCTAAAACACAATTTCTGGTTTAATCTAAGTTTTCTAGTTATGTTAGTTAGGAGAACTGGTCTTCCAATGACTATTTCATCCTATCCAATGAGGAACATTTGCAAGGCAAGGTATGTTTTGTTATTAGAAAATCTACCAATGCAATTTAATGTATTTACAAATTAAAGGAAAAGCAAAAAGATCATCTCAATAGACATAAAAATATGTAATAAACTTTACTACCATTCACAATGCAGACCTCTGAAAACCTGTATTCTAGGAGAATATTCTTATTCCACTAAACAGTACATAGAAAAATTATGCAGCATGTGTTCAGTCAGCCTTCTTGAACTGGAACTCACAAGTTTAGTGTTTTTTTTTTTCTTTTTCTTCATTTTGATTGACACTAGAATTTTATTAAAGTTTTTGTTATCAAAGCACATTTTAAAATCTATTAGAGCCAGACATGGTAATGTATGCCTTATCATACCAGTCTAGATAACATAACAATGCCTCTTTAAAAAGAAAATATATTAGGATAATTACGGTTCTTCCCCTTGTTGGAGCTGCAGATAGGCACTTTTTAAAAAATCTAAAAATACTTTCATTATATTACCATTACATTTTTAAAGTCAGATGGACCTTAGACCCAGAAACTCATGCTCATAGAGGTGAAGTGACTGATAAAGTCACAAATGAAAATGCAGGCAAAGCCAAAGCTTTTTTTTTTTTTTTTAATTTCCTGTCTGCTGCGGGACCCTAAATACTTTGAAGTTTGCATAAAACCTTGCACTGTCTCCTTACTACTGATAGAAGGAGGTCAATGAAATAAAACTTCTCCTAATTTTCAACTTCACCTGCTGGCTATAACTTGGCTTTTTAACGTAGTCTTCCCCCTTCCATTTTTCAGCTTTACAAACCCTCAACTGGAGTCACATAGATCTACTTACCCTACATTTTCTAACTTTATGTTGCACATTTTAAGTGTAGAATCATGCACGCATCCCTGCTTAAAACGCGCTTCTCCATTTTCTCCATCTATCCCAGCAGTTCTCTGTGGACTGGTAAACTCTTGTCTATGTCAGCTCCAAACCTATCTTTCTAGGCTCTACTTTGTGATGCTGGCCTGGGCTTTGCAACGGTGGTTCTTCGATGGCAGGCCGCTATTAGCTTTTGTCACTAGGAGGCGTAAGAGGAACGCAAAAGTCAGGAGAGACAGCGGACTGTAAGCGTCACCCTGAAGATTTTTTTTTTTTTTTAAATCTATAGCAGCAGTTGGTTCTTGTTCCCAGTTTTTTCCACAATTCCAGACCTATCCTCTTCTCCTTCCCCCAGAAGCACCGGCCCCACTAGCCAGTGTCCCACCTAGAAGTCTGGGTTCCCGTTTTACAGATGTCTCCTCTAAATTCCTAGGTTCCAAGAAGTCCCACCCCTTTCCCTTATTCCCTAGCCTTGTGTGGCAATAGCTGCTCCGTGTGATGCTAGAATTCTCCATTTGCCTTTTCAATCCTCTAGTACCCGTTTAATCCAATCCTTACTGTTTCTGTCAAAATAAGGTGTTTCTGTTTTCCTGAATGGACACAGACTGATACAAATCTCTAACAGGTTAATGCGGAACTGATGGACAAAAAGAATATTCTGAAATAATAATATACTTATTTCACTTTCTGAACTACTAACAATTTTACTAGCAGGAAAATGTGACATAAAGTAAAAAAGGTCTATATATTACAAAAGCAATTGTACCTGATATTTTAAGAAATCTTAGATATTTATACTCTTTCTTGCTAGCAGAGAGGCATTGAAATGTCAAATGTTTAAGTACAATGTAAAAGCAAAACATAGTTTATTAAAATTGGGATGATTTTGTGAAGGACAAGAGTGTAAATATCCAGTTCTTACAGAAGAGCTTTGATAAACACAGAACACCAACATTCAGTAAATGCAATAGATTCCTTATTTTGAAAAAAATAGAGTTCTCTTTAAAAAGTGTATATATGTTTTGAAATGAGAAAGAGAGAGAGCCAGAAGCTGGATCACAGACTGAATTAGGAGTAGAGGAAGCTTATTTCTTATTTCCAAGAAGGAACAGGACCATAGTCTTGAGAAACCAGATTCTTGTCTCAAGGGTCGAATCCTCATGCTGCCTCATGGGGTCCCAGCCTAGGAAAGAGTATACTTTGGTGAGATTTCATTCTCCAGCTTCAGAAGAGTAACTCAGTATCTCCCTGGGAAGGATTGAAGAGGCAGGGAGGAAAATGTCAGGAATGATCCTGCAGGTGCCCCAGTATGGGAGGAGCCACTGGCTGCTCCGCCCAGAGCTGTGGCTCACTAGGGCCCAGTCAGGCCACTGCCTGCCTATAAAATGTGTCAGGACCCTGCTCTCATCTGCCTTGACACCCTAGGGACTGTCTGCTCCACACCTGGGTCTGACCAGGGTGAGCAGGTCTTTTGGAACTTAGAGCACAACTAAAAGGGTAAGTAGCTGTTGGAAATCACAGGGGGAAAGGTAAGGGGGGAGAAGAGGGGAATAGAAGTAGAGATGTTGGCCTAGGAAGATTCAGCCTGGGAATTAGAGTCCATGGGAATTAGAGTGATCAGCCAATCTGAATTCTTGCCAATGTCTGGCTTCTGGCAACTGAGTCAGCTGGTTGGGGAGGGATTATTCCAGGCTATTCACATCTCACACACCCATTTGTAGATGCTTAGAGAAGATGCAAGGGGCACACAGAGAAAATGGCAATACCCAATATTACCATGAAATTCCAACTGATATCCTTTCCTCTACCTCAGATATAATTCCCTCCCTCCTTCCCTTCGTTACTCTCTTCCTCTCTCCCTTATTGGCTACCTTTCTTTTCTCATTCATTTATTTATTCACATGTTATTCCTATATCACCAGATTTTTATTAAGCACTTATTAATTACCTGGTGCTATTCTAGACATTGGAATATAGAAGTACACAAAAGAGGGGAGGATAATCCCTGTTTTTTCCCATTTCAGTGGGAAATCTACATTTACTGGATATCATTTATGTAACAAGAACAGTGCCATATCTTAGAGACAGAGAAATTAACAAGATGGAGGCTTTGGCTTGAGTGTGTGTGTGTGTGTGTGTGTGTGTGTGTGTGTGTGTGTGTGTGGTTATGATTTGTTCAAGGTATCAGCAGCCCCAGGGTAGATTCCAAAGGAGGAAACAATGATCTAAGATTTAACAAGTGTATAAAACACCTGTATTGGCTTTTAGGTTGACTGAACTCCCACCAAGATGTCCTGCAAGCAAACCCAGCAGCTGTGCCAGCCTCCTCTTAAAGGGCCTACTACCAAGTGCCCCCCAAAGTGTCCCCCTAAGGGACCTCCTAAGGTGCCCTGTTCAAGTCTCTTCCTCCTGTGGCCCTAGCTCCGGGGCTGCTGTGGTCTCAGCTGACGACGGCATCAGGGCTCCAGCTGTTGCTTTGGGGCTGCTGCTACCAGGATTTTAAGCATCACCTGAGTTACCGAAACACCAAGCACCTGCACTGCTCTCATGAGTCTCGTTCATCAGCGCGTTTTCATCCCTTCAAGAACTCTTGCCTCGGAACATTGCTACACATGAGCTGTGTCTCAGAAGCAGTCATGGGCACAGTGACTTGGGGCTGGGCTCAAAACTTGGTTTCCTGAGGTTTGGATGTGATTGCTCTGAACAAGCTGCTTTGCCACAATAAATATTTTCAAGTTTCCTTGCTTCTATTTTTAAGTTATTTTATTTATGTTTCCATCTACTTACCAATTTCCACTTCTTTTCCCTAAATACATTGCTGAGTTTCCTTACTTTGGATGAATAGAAGAAAAATCAACCCCCCAACATAAAGAGATTAACTTTTAAAAATACATACATGTTTGTTTTAATAAATAAAGAGAAAATAAATAAACTAAAATGTGAACACACTATTGAAATAAATAAATTAATGTAATGGTGTATCAGGGAAATATTATAATACGTTCAAAATATTTCTTTAAATAATTGTCTTTTAGGTGACTATGAAAAAAAGTCCTTGCATATAAAAAATACATGCATTTGGACATTGTTTCATAAATGTTCTTATAATAAAATATGAGATAAATCTATCATTGTGTGCTCAGTCTCTGTGGCTGAGTTAGCTGTTATGTGAGAGGATTTATGCAAAGGAATGCCATGGTTTCCCTGGGTTCAGATGAAGAGCATATTACCCCCTGCTCTGATTCTTAGTTCCTTAAGCCCTCCTGACATCCACACATCAAAACAGAAGCCTGTTTCCAATTGTGCAGTGATCCGGAGAGGATGCCTATGTAGTTCTTCCTCGTCCTTTTTACTCCTACAGCCCTGGGGTGGGGATGTGTCAAAGACAGCCCGCTTACAGTGTCTCCAGCTTACAGACTCTTCTGATGGATGTGTTGGCGAGCTGTCGAGCAATCTTAGTACCCACCTTTGTTGGACCTCCAGAATAGTCAGTCAAGAAAGGCCTTGAAGGATAAGATTAGGTCTCAATAGGAATTCCTAGCAACATTTGAAAACCTGCAATGGGATAGTTCCATCCACCTGAATGCCTATACAGATGCTCCTCAACTTCTGACAGGTTTATGTCCAGATAAACCTATGGTGAGTTGAAAATATCATAATCCAAAAACACGCTTAGTACAACTAACCTACCAAACATGATAGCTTAGCCTAGCCTTCCTTGAACATGCTCAGAACGCTTACATTAGCCAACAGCTGAGCAAAATCATCTGGCAGCAGTGTAAACTGTAGAGTATTGACTGTTTACCATCCCGACCCCATGGCTGACTGGGAGCTGCAGCAGCGTGCCAGGTATCAAGACAGACTATCATTCATAGGGCGTATTGCTAGTCTTGAAAAATATCAAAATTCAAAATTCCAAGTATAGTCTCCACCAAATTAATAAAGTTAAAAAATCCTAAGTTAAACCATCATAAGTTCAGGACCATATATAACTAGTAAATATATATTTTCTTTTTCTTTTATTTTCTTGCTTTTTTTTTTTTTTTGAGATAATCTCGCTCTGTCGCCAGGATGGAGTACAGTGGCACGATCTTGGCTCACTGCAACCTCCACCTTTAGGGTTCAAGCGATTCTCCTGTCTTAGCCTCCTGAGTAGCTGGGATTACAGGCACCCTCCACCACGCCCAGATAATTTTTGTATTTTCAGTAGAGACGGGGTTTCACCATGTTGGCCAGGATGGTCTCGATCTCTTGACCTCGTGATTCGCCCGCCTTGGCCTCCCAAAATGCTGGGATTATAGGCATGAGCCACAATGTCCAGCCATTAATTATATATTTTCTTTTACTTGTCAAGCATCTGTCTCTATGCTGAAACATAGTCATAGTGGGCAGGGATTATATTTCTTTCAAATCATGTTGTATCTCCAGAGTTGGCCACATAGGCAACAATACTTGCTGAGTGTGTGTGAGAGTGAATTAATGAACTCTGATTTTTCAGTTTACTAAGGGAGGACAGTCCAGGAAATCCTCAATGTTTTTTTCTCTTTAGAGATGTTCTGTTCTTTTAATTCACCTGATTATATCCTTCTCTCATTTACGCTCATAAGACCTGCTTAATGATTACCTAATTTGCTCAGCAAATAACCTTTGGAAATAGTTCCTTGCTCCAGGGAATCCCAAGGCATGGAGATGCAGTGATTGCAATTATAATATTTAATTAATGTGACCTATTCATCTAAAACTGAAATTCTTCTAATTCCAGTGATTAAAAATATAGACATACTGGACATAAATGGACATAGGCGGTGAGGGTGTTGGGGTGTGTGTGTGTGTAGTGATCATATCTCATTAACACGGTTCAATCCCATGGTAGCCCATAAATAGTGCCATCTGGGTCATGAAATATGATGGGTTCTGTCTTTGTTTTGATTGGGAAGTAAGTGCATAGATATTGCATAAAAGAGAGGTTATTCAGACAATGAGGTTGCCAGGAACTTGGTATGAGAGAGGGATTTAGAAAGCATAGTTATAAATGATCTGGAAAATTTATCCCACCAAACAAAATAATTGGCAATCTGTACCAGACAAATGGTCTGATAATGTGTGTGTGTGTGTGTGTGTGTGTGTGTGTGCGTGTGCATATGGTAGTGTATCTAAGCTGTATGTGAATTTGTTCTCAAAAATCTGTTGACATTATACTAATAAAGAAATTGTTTTGGGTTAAATATTCTGAACTTTATTCCCAGCTGTGTGAATTGCTTAGCCCTGGGAACCTTCGTTTTCTCACTTGCTTAGTGGAAATATTAATACTATCTACATCACAGGATTGGTATGAGGATTGAATGACATAATGTGTATAAAAGACCTAAGTAATACATAGAGCAAAATAGGTAGTCAACCAGAATTTTTTATGATTAGTATACACACGTGGGTGTATATATGCATATATACATGTAGATATTTGAACCAAAAGCACAACTTAATTCAACCTTCACTTCAGGGGAAGACAGGGAGGCATGGAGAACTGCATTACTTAGAGTTTTCCAGAGAAACAGGAAAGAGAGAGAGCAAAATTTATTTTAAGGAATTGGCTCATGCAATGACTGCGTGGGCTGGAAAGCCCAAAATCTTTCCAGACCGCAGTCACCACATGATGATTGCGATGATTATGCAGGCCAGAAGCCTGGAAATTCAGGTAACAGTGTTGCAGCCTTGAGTCTAAATTCTGCAAATCAGTAGTCTGGAAACCAGCAGAGCTTCTACAGTACAGTCTGAGGATAATTTCTTCTTTCGGAAATCTCAGTCTCTGCTATTAGAGGCTTCAGCTTATTGGATGAGGCTCACCTTAGTAAAATAATGTGCTTATTCAGTCCACTGGTTAAATACTTACAGAGCAACATCTGGACTAGTGTTTGATCAAACAACTGGGCACCACAGCATGGCCTAGGCAAAATTAACCATCACACAGGCCGTGAGGATACATGGAGGTCATTAAAGATATGACCCAAGAGATAGAAGAGGGGTCGACAGTGATCAGGACACACTAAGAAAGTGAAATGATGGCTTTATTTTCACTCAGAATAAAGGAAAATTTCTGGACATACCTTTGGAGAATATTGGAAAAACAGAAACTTCTACCTGGTAACCCCATGAGTCTCAACAAAGCTGTGATGCTAGGAGGGTTGGAGAGCAGGAGCACAGCACTCAGCTGGGGAGGCCCTGGGCCTTTGCACTTTGGTTTCACGGAGGTGTAGTCAGTACAGCACAGACAAGGCTGCTGACGCCGCACGGTAGCTGGAGCTCTGGGAGCTGATGACGACTGTACCTGCTTCCCACGCGGGGCTCAGTCACACAAGAAGAGCTGGAGGTGAACATGGGCTGTGCACTGCAGTGACGCTGCGGAGGGCCCTTCAAAGGCATTGGCATTGCTGCTGGGTTTTTGACAAGGTATCTGAGTTTGAAAGTGAATCGTATAATAAGTTAGCTAAATTAGAGCCAGGACGGAAATAATTTTGCCCTTTTAAACTTATTCATGGTGTGTTGGCAGACAGTTTATTAAATACATTCGTATTCAATTAGTACCTATGAAGAAACATATTACCCCAAGTGAAAAGTGTTAGAAGTGACATTCCTGAAAACAGAACTAATGCTAAATCAATATCAATGTCTGTCTCTCATCATTTTATTTCGTATCTACATACCCACTCCCTACCTACTGTATTTCATGAGCTTTAAGAGGCTGTTAATTGTAAGGGGCACCCTTATTTCATGCACCACAAGAAAAGATAAAAAAACACTCCAAATTTAACTATTATGTGACAGGAATCATATGGTATACATTAATTTAAGGGCTGTTAAAAAAATGTAAGAAGAGTGTATCATAGAACTGATGAATTAAGGTAAATATAAAACCCATCCTGTTTAGGTCATACAAATATGTATGTACAAACTAGACGGGCCAATTCTTGCTTGCCCAGAGCACCCCTTTGCTGTGTTTCTTCCTATCGCTGGGTCTTCTCTTTTCATATTCCACACTCCTGGTGTTGCTCTTTTGACTCCCATATGGTTCTGCTGAGAGCCAGTTTGATGGCTCCCAGTGGTAAACTCACCCTGATAACCAGCCAAGGAAAATGACAGTTCCCAGGTGTGCCAAAACAGAGGCAGGCAGTGTCAGGACATCTCTTATATGCCATGCTAACACCAAGGTCTGAAGTGAGTCTCAGCCCTAGCAGGACGAGGACATGTGAATTTCCAACGACCCTCTGCCTGGAGTTCATGCCCTTCTGATGCCCATCAAATGTGACTTCAGCAAGGAGTCATTCTGGACCTGGGTTCTGAAATCCCGCTTTTCTGTGAAATTGTCTCTTGTTAGGAAATTAGGTGTTAAAATTATCCCAAACTTAAAATTAAGCCAAAAAGTGATTTCTAATAAGTCTTTCTTCCCTGACTTGTGAACCAATTCCCAATGTTTTCTGAGATATAAAGGGACAAAGGGGACATGTTAAAGAGCTGCTTATCTCCCAATTCTGTTTTCCCAGGGGATCGAATCCCATCAGTTCTTCCATTGCTTATTCAACCACTCAATCCAGGTGCTCATGTATGTGCATGTCCATTTCACCTGCACTTTTATATAACTACAATATGCACACACACAGTGCACAGACGCACGCACACACACACACACACACACACACACACACACACACACACGGGTTTGCCTCACTTACTTCCTCGTTTA